AATTGTAATGTGTTAAAAAAGACAGAGATGGCCTGAAACCAGCCCAGTTCACAAAGCAGAGACATTACATGGGCATATGGGCCATGCCCATTTCTGCCTCCACTGCTACATTCTGGACCAGTTATGGCTTCCGAGCTGTCTTCCAGGGCAGCCCATGTTGCACTCATCCACATGTGAGCTGATGAGGGCATGAGTGACTGTCTGAAGGGCTTCTTGGTCTAGGAAAGAGCACCGCTGGTGCACCAGATGAATCTGTACAAACACCTTCCTGGCCACAGCTGTCAGCTGGCCTTTGAGAAGGTGCTGAAAGTCCAGGATGACAACTCCACCCAGGACTAAAGATGGAAAATTTCCAGGATTGGGGGACCCAAATACTGGGCCACTTAGTCTTGCTAGGGTTGAGCCCATGTCTATCCCTCACAGCCTCCAGACCCTGGGACAAGACTTCATCAACATCACTTGGAGGGGCTGCAGCTGAGATGTATAACTGGGCATCATCAACCTACTCATGATACCTGATTCCAAAACAATGGATGATCTCACCTAGTTATCTCACATTGGTATTAAGCAGGAGGGATAAGCTCCATGACACTCCACCCTTGGAGGGCTTTGGGCTCAACCTCTCCTCTCCTGCTAACAGCAACTGGTGCTGACCACAGAGAGAGGAGAACCACTCCAACATGGTGCTCCCCACTCCCAACCCCCCAGACAGTCTTAAAAGATTCTATAGTTGATGGTATCAAAAGTCACTGAGAGATTAAGGAGAACCAGGATGGACACACCACCTTCTTTCAAGCTCTGCTAGAGGTGATTAACAAGCACTATCCATGCTGTCTCAATACTACGCCCCAGTCTGAAACAAGTTCAGACTGTTTCCCCAAGGCCCTCTGAAGCCACAGAGTGACCACTTCCTTAACAATCTTCCCTAAAAAGGGAAGGTTGGAGATGGGATGAAAATTGCGAGAACTATTGCATCCAGTGATGGCATCCTGAGTACACCACTGTCTCCTTCAAGGCCAGCAGAACCACCCCCTCCCTCAAGGAAGCTGAGATCCCCGTGTCACCTTGTCACCTCCCATGCAACCTTTACAAGACAGGAGGGACATGAATCTGGTACACCAGGGACTGAGTTCCTGGTCTACTTCCTTCAGATTTACAGCTCCTTGGGAATTATCTTAAAGTAGAACCAGACCTTCAGCTGGTTGAAGGTCTTCTGTTAAAATCCAACAAAAAGATAAAATCTCTGTAATAGGGCATAACCTCTCTGAGTTTGATGACATTTATTCCCCGGCAGGTGGGATTATTCCAGAAGGCCTGGTATGACAACAGATCTTTTGCAGGATCATCATCATAGGTTCTAGCCCAGTGTTTCTCAAACTTGCTGGCTGAGGAATTGTAGGAGCCGGAGTCCACCCATCTTTAAGTTTCCAAGGTTGAAAAACTCTCCTCTAGCTGGTGCATGCTGTTTAAATAATTCCTAAAATCCAACTTTTCCAGGTGGTGTTGGTTCTCTCTTTCTGAGTAGTACATCTCACGACTGAAACACCTGCCTTTTTAGTTTCTTGTTCTTTCCCATCCCTTTTTTTCTTCCCCCTGGCCTGAGAAAGAATTGCGGAGAATGTGAAAACTTGTACCTGCTTTTCTGCCATTTTGGCCAGCTCTGATAAAGTTGACAGCCACCTTGAGATGATACTCCCCTTCCCAAACCAACATGGTTTGATGGCTTTTTACCTTTCTTCCATCCAGAAGGTGTATCCAAACCCATCAAGTAGTTCCCTGTTGAGATCCCCCACTTAATTGGTAGTCATCTTGGACATCCTGCCAAATGTTCATGTTTATTTCTTTACTTGCTTAACAGATTGATACAGTTGCCCATCAGGAACTCTGGGTACCCAACCAAACTTTACAAATCTGTTGAAAAGAAACTGGGTCGAGGCCCCAAAGTTCTCATGATGAACATGTCAAACTAAGGACCCCCCCCATTGCATTGGGTTTGCATTTGATTGACTCTTGGGACTGCCAATGAGAACGCTCCCTGCATTTTAATGAGATGCAACAGGAAGCACACAAGAGAAGCTTGGATCTGTGACAGAAAGGGGTCACATGGTGGCAAGTTGGGCATTCATGACAGGCCCTTGACTTCTACAGACCTTTGACAGTGGTAGGAGACAAGTGTTTCAGGCTGGAAACCCATGCACACTTACCTGAGAGGAGTCCAGCAATTTTCACTTCCAAATAAAATCCTTGTGCGTTAAGAGACTCATTATCTTCTGGTGGATGAAGAATTTTTTTATACCGATGCAGGCTGCAAGCATCTGTGTTTTTTATACCTCTCTCATAGTGCTAAGTTGCAACTCCCATCATCCACATTTAGCACCACCAGTAGCATATGAGATGGGTGTAAAAAACACAGATGCTTGCAGCTGGGGATGATGGGCCCCAGACGGAAATAGTGGCTCTAATGCTTGGGTTAATGCCTGACATTAACACAAGGCTGGTTGCTCCTTTAGAACAGTTTTTCAAACTTGGCAACTTTAAGAAGTGTGGACTTCAACTCCCAGAATTCCCCGGCCAGCCATGCCGGCTAGGGAATTTTGGGTGTTGGGCCCCACTTCTTTAAATTGCCAAGTTTGAAAAACACCGCTTTAGAAATATCAATTGCCTTTACAGCAATTTGCACAAACATCTCACAGGTGGGGAGGCAGGCTGCATGCATGTGTGGGAGAAAATGTGGGGGAAAGGATTCAAATGGCGTAGACTGAATGTGAATGGTGTGGCCTTGTGTTGAATTAGCTTCTTTACTAGAACCCAGTATCACCTCTTT